ACTCTCTATCCCTTTTGTATTAGAATGGCCCTTAATGATTTGAAAAAAAAACATCTTTTTAGTCCTCTGCCGCGAAGAACGCCTGTTATTTTTGTACAAGTAGGAGAAACTTATGGGAACCTAATGAATTCGGTAAAAATGTCAGCCTTGGTGGCACGGGTGGTAATCGAATTGTCGTGTGATTCCGCTTGAAAATAAAGCGAAAGACGAGAAGAAAATAGGCAAAGAGAACCATAAAAAGGCTAAAATTGGAGACATTCTTTCTTGTGACGTCGACCGCGTGAGGAGAGACCCAGCGCGACTGGGAGAACGGATACACATGAGAGCATGCCGTATGGGAGAAAGTGCAGAAAGTGTGTGTGCAGCGAAAGTAGAAATGGCAGCGGTTGCAGCGTTAAAGGAAAAGTCCGGGAATGAAATGATGTATTATTGCGCTTGTGGGGACAGTGATAGTGTGTACTGTAACGCTAGTAATGAAACGACGGGAGGAACCGTGGAAAAGGACGAAAATAAAGCCCCCGTCTCTAGTAGTAGTGGCGAAGCGAAATAGCACTGATTTTTGGGCGGCTCAATGATGTTGGATGAGGCTAGTGCTGCAACCTAAGCTCCCAACGCCTTGGCCATATCAAATCATCTCGAAACATAAATGTCACGTGCTTCCCACTTGCGTTACTGCATTTTCCTCGGGGAAAGGCTTATCCATGACAAATCCCGGATCTTGCTTTTAGGGACTTGGTGCTCTTCTTTTTCGCACATTTCTAGTCGCGGCAGTGCCACGTTTTCTATGCTCGAAGACCCTGCTACTTCACTCACGTAGAACTGCTCTAAGGATCTTATGCGCCGTCAAATTTCATATAAAGAACAACACTCTTTTGAATGCTACCAATTAAGGACCTCAAAGCTCAAAAAGAAGACGAAACACTGGTAAGGATATGCGCTACGGACAGAAGAGAGCAGCGTCAGACATCACCAGAGATCCTTTGGCGGAAAATCAATCAAACAATCGAAAAGGAACGGTAGGTATTCATTTCTGAACATTAAAAAGATTTTAGTGAAGATTTGGCCAAAGATTTGTTCCTGGAGGTATTTGACTTGATAAGCGTGAACATCGTGTTCGGAAATCGCTTAAAGGTGGTGGCGTGTCAAGTCCCCTTTAGGCCACTGTTTTTCATACTTGGTCCGCGTCTGCAGGTTTGAGCAATATCGATGGCGTAATTTGTTTTAGCGCCAGCACCTGTGGCGCGGGCTCCCGCGTCTTGCGCTTGAAGAAAAAAATGAACTAAATAAAGGAACTTTTCACGTTTAATCAGTACGAGTTGTTGCACTCGAAAATTAGCGTATAACT